AAATAAGAAGGTGATAGGAGTGTGGTTAAGAAGTGTTTGAATGATGTGGTTATTAAATCTCTGTTCCTTCGGAGATTGAGGAGATGAGTATCTGAATGTAAAACGGTACAGATGTAGGAACTAAAAGGCACTGAATGCCCTGGAAGACACAGCAAGGACAGGCAGATTGAAAGGAAAGACAAAACAAATGCAAGTAAATAAGCATAATAAGCAAAATGCTATAGGGTATTTACTTAAATATAATTCTGTAATACAATGCAGTAAATAGTAACGCTAAAACATGCTGCCCCAACTAGTGAGACTGAAAAATAAATGTTTTCTATATCAGAGGGAAGAAACTGCAAAATTGGAATTCACATATGTTAATTTTAAGATCCAAAAGGGCCCACTTCAATTTTTGATAAAATTTCCCCCTCTCTCCTCCTGGTTTTTGAGGGGCTTCAGATTGTGCAGAGGTGTTTTGGTTTTTTGTGTTTGGTGGTTTTTTCTTTTTTTTGCTTTGTTTGGCAAATATGTCTGAATATACAGTATTTCATTCCAGGTTTTGTTGACAAGAATCTTGTTTAACCAGTTTTGTCTGTTTTGTGCTCTGTATGTTTATGTGCATAATCTCCTTTAAACTTTCTGAAGAGTCTGATCCACAATTCTTTGAACTAAAGTTCTTATATTAACCATGTCTGTTAATGTTTTATATTCAACTTAAATCATTACTCTGTGACCTTCACCTAGTTCTGTTACCATGGGTTAAATTATATAAACTTAGCTAAAATAATTGCCAAAACTTTTCCAACATCCCCAAATAAATAAATGTAAAGGATTTATGAGTGGGCACCAACAGAAGTCATTAATTGATGTCGTGTCATTAAGCCTTGAGGACCATTAGTTAACTCACACTGTTTATGTGCAGCACCATTACAAACAAGTCACATGTGGACTGGGGGAAATGGATCCACAGCACAATCACTCCCTGTCTGGCTTTTTCCTCATTTGTACTTACTATTCCTTTAATTTTCAATTTTCCTTCTTCTTTCATCCTCATCACTCTAACCCATTAATTGAATGCTTTTGCAAACAGCCTTTAACTCCTTTTTTTGAATGTGTAAGCCAGTTCCTGAATTTTCAGTGAAAACATGCTTCCTTGCTCATGTAGGCAGAACCCCAGAGATTACCCCTGGCTGTTGGTAAATACTGTTGGACAGTTTAAACTGTCCTTGTTCTTGCTACTTTCAGTTTTAGCCTATGAAGGACAGCAATATCCAGACTTTATCAACATACATAGTAATTTCACTGTCATTTCAATGCAGTGGTTTTCATATCTTTTACTTCTGTGTTTTGTTGGGGAAATTCTCTGCAGAGTAGAGTGAGCCATCCCTAATGACAATGTTAAATTGTACCTGTGGTGTGTACATGAGTAATCTGCCTGCTGGCTGTGTGGCACTGCAGGAGCACACTGCCTGTGTGCAGGGGCTCCATTGGCAAAGGGCACAGCGATCCTTTGTGCATCAGCAGTGGCTGTGTATGGTGTCATGGCTGATGGCCTGAACCTTATGTAAGTGTTCAATATATGGACAGGGATCTCTCTCCACCAGGTTCTCCCCTAATGATGTTGCTACAAGGTCTGTCAGAATTGCATTTCAAAGCTTGTATGCTTTCTGTATACTCTCCAGCGATCCTTAGGCTTTTTGCTGTCGTGTTCATGTGTCTTCCCAACAGCAGGCCTGGAGGGGAGGTGGTAGGTAATGTGGGGTGCCAGAGAGGACTAACAATGGAGAATACAAGGCAAGACTTATGGAGACTTTTGATACCTTAACTTTCTGTGGTAATCTACTATAGGATATGGCATACGTTGCCAAAAGCTCTTATAATCCAAAAACTTCATTTGTGCCAGTGAAGAAGCTCTGCATGAAATTCTCAGTACTCTAGGGAAAAATTAATATAAGCTTTTTACTGTCTAAACTCAGCTGTGTAATTTGACTCTTGGAGAAATTATGCTATGTGTGCTTTTTCTTATACAAGAGACATCTAAACTGTATTTGTATGGCTTGACTTTGTTTAAACTTCACTATCAAATTGAAGATACTTTTGGATTGTTTTGTCTAGTATTATCCTGAACAATATCCTCAGAATGATCTTCCATGTCTTATGTGTATAGTACAGTTGTGTAAACTGCTAAGATAGATACTCCTGTGTTTCTTTTCAGTCTTGTCTGAAACAACTTGAAAAGATGTTGAAACAATGTGTACAGTGAAACCATGTTGTAAAGAAAATTCCTTGTAGTCTCCCCAGATTATAAAAAAAGCATTCATTCTCCAGCTACAATACAGTGCAGCTCTCCATATATACCAAGAGAGTTTTCTACCATAAAAGTATGTGTGTGTCAAAGAAAGGAATTTTGTCCCTAACATGTTAGAGAATTTGCTTTGGCAGGTATAACCTTTATAATGATGCCAAGGTCATTTGAGACCTGTGAAGATCTGCTGGCTAAGTGCTGGTCACTCAATCAGCTGGAACTTTAGCAAGGTTTATTTATATATCCAATTTATTTCCAAGATTTTAAATTAGGTTAATAAAGACAATACTTGCTTCTTTACGTTTCTCTACATTTTACATGTATTCACCTAACTTCTTGCTAATTTACTGAAATATATAGTGAAAAAGGAGAGCAAATAATAGTTTAGTTTAATGTTTGGGTCTGTATCCTAAGATACATACTACAAAAAGCAGGCTGGAGCAGATCTCTAGATAGGATGGCATCTGTGTAATCTGAACTTAATTTTGAACCTCTTAGGTTAAATAACATATATAGATAGATAGTACTTCTGTGTTTATTTATGTATATGGATTGGGGGGGTGGGGGTGGTTGTTGGGTTGTTTGCTTTTGTGCATGTGTGCATCCACTTTTAAGTAAATACTGCTTCCTGTTGGGAAAGTAAAGCAAACCATGGTTGATGTAGTGCAATCTCCAGGTCTGATGTGGGTCTACTGCACTCCTCTCTTACTCTGCAGCCAGCCCCATGTAGGCAGTTGGATGAAAAAGAACAGACAAATCAACATTCCTTTCCCTCAACTCCCCAGCGTGCCTCAGCTGCTTTCACTCGGCTCCAGAAAGGAGAAATGAGACTAAAAGAGCCACTGGTGGATTGCTTGCTAATTAGTCAAACTTTGCTGCATGCAGAAAGCAAAAATTAAAGGAATATATAAATGCTATTGAAATTCCAGTATGTGAAATCTTAAAGCATTGACAGAGATTTATTTCAGAGCTTTTGACTAGCTGTGTATTTAGAAGAACAAGTTTTTTCAGGATTTTCAAAAGACCAGAACTTGTCAGCCTGCTTATGCTGCCAGTTTTTGTATAATAAGTTCATTGACCCTGTAGACAGTCTGAGTGTTTTCTGAGTTACTGCTTTATCTAATTTGCATGATTTTAAAGCTGCTGCTTGCTAGAAAACAGTCTAGTGAGGGCACTCTTTGTAAACACCCTTTTATATAACTTTGCTTACTCGTTTTGGCTAAGGAGAGAGGAAGATCAGGAGTGACAATCAAAAATAGTGTAAATGAAAAGTGATTTTCATGCTTTCATAAAATATTTCACAAAATAGTTTCTGAGTAGTTTGATAGGATTTCTTGTGTTTTCGCCCAGATAAACACAATTTCACATGCAAAAAATGTTATGCTTCAGTAATGAATGTGTAATTATTTATTGTTACCAGATAATGTAGAGGCCAACAGTATAAATGGACTTGAGAAGGATTAGAGAAATTAATTGATGATACATTAATGGAAAAAAACAAGTGAGAGCTGGGAGTGTATAATAATGAAAGGCTTGCCTCATAATTGTTCTTCTTTTTGCCTGTAAGCATCAGCCATGGCCATGAGAGAAAATCCTGGTCTAGATTGATTCCTATGTTTGTTCTGATTTTCTTGCTGTTGTTTAAGCATCAGCCATGAGAGAGAATCCTGGCCTGGATTGATTCCTGTGTTTGTTCTGATGTTCTTGCTGTTGTTTAAGGTGTTGGTGTAGAAGACAGTGAGGCTGTACTTGGGAACCAGATCTTTGGACAGAGTATTGTTTTGTATCAGCCCCTGAATACCCAGAAACAAGAATCGCCCTGGGTTCTTCTAAGTTCTTTGGAGCGGATGCTGAATGAGAAGTTAGTGAAGAGCAAAGATTATATCTTCCTGCTCTTTAGATTTAAATGTTTATGAGTGCATACCTGGTCTGTGTTACAAGAGTGTAGATGGTATAATAATATAGACAGATACTTCCACTCATGGTTTCCACAGCAAATGGTAGGGTGTTTTAGAGGGTAAGTGGTAAGGTCATGATTAGCTCTGAAAAGTAACATGCTGCAGCCAGCTGCCCTGCAAAAAAAAGTCAAAAATCCAGTGCCAGAAGTTGTGATTTTTTGTTCATTATTATTATTTGTGTTTGTGCTATGTATTGAGTTTCTGAAAAGTGTATATTTTTGAATACAAATTGAACTCAGTATTCAATACAAGTTGAACCACCACTGTTTATTTAGTGTGCAAATCTCTTTATATTATCTGTCATTTACTCTGCAGCCTCACCAGTGTGTTGCATGTTAGTGCTTGGAATCATCAGTGGTGTGAGGCTGCCTAAATTTTGTGTTGCTGTGGAAGTCTCTCTTCATAAATATGTTCTTACTTAAAGGTCCATATAGCTTTTTCTATCTGTTAAATTTTTTAGTTTACTTGAAATTACCTAACAATGGGATTTGGTAATGAAATATTTTAGTGTAATAAAGAGGAAGATGTTAAGGTGAACATATGAGATGACAAGCATGAGACTATTCAGGTGTCATATATTACTTTATCTGTTCATATGCCCGAGGAGAAAAAATGCTAAATATTAAAGTCTCTGTTGATATTTTAATGTTATATCCTAGCTGTATTTGCTGTGATGCCTTATGGAACTCCTGTTGGAAAACAGCATAAATTCTTCTTTTTTTTCTTAACATGGCATAATTTGTTTTCACTAGAGTGCTGCTGTCCTTGCAAGTGAAAAAAATGCTGCACAAGAGAAGCGAAATAGTGTAGAAAATCAAGTCAAAGAGCTGATTGAGGAAAATAAACAATTGAAGAGAACACTTACTGAGCTAGAGAGGAAAATTGAGGAGCTGCACAAACAAATTGATAATATGAAAGGAGAAGAAAATTCATTGAAGGAAAAATTAGAGACATATGAGGTAAGTTAAGAAAACAAGCCCCTTAAGTAGTCTTCCTCTTTGCAATGTACTGACCAAGAGGAGAATGGACAATGCCATAGGAAAGGGTGAGGAAAACCAAGTTGTCAAGAATCAGTTTGCTGACATGTGTAGGAAAGATTTTCCCATCGAAAACCAGAGTAAAACCAAGTCACACCTTGGGACTGGGGAAATCAGTTACAGGCCAGAGTGAAAAGACTTAACAGCTCAGTTTACATGCCAGATTAAAGACCTGGCCACTGTTTCTGAATGTATCAAATTGCATCATTGCAGAAAGAGAAGCAACAATTAGAAGAAGCTTTGAAACATGCTGAAATGGAGGGAAAAGAATTGTTAGTGTTAAAAGCATCTTTGGAAAGCCAGCTAGAAGATATGCAGGTAAGAACAAGAAAAATTTGGATAATTTAAAATTTTAAATTTTCTATTTATCTGAGTCACTATAGCTTTCTGTAGAGTTACATCTCATTATTTTTGAAGTACACTTGGTTGTAAAGTTTAAACCTCTCTTCAGTGTTCAAATGTGTAATGAAACCATAGCATCAACAAATTCAAATTGGTTTTTTTTTCTATTTCTATGCATCTAGAAAAATTTTGGGGAAATGAACTGCCAAATAAATTGCCTAAGGTTTCACAAATTATTATTTTTAGTGATCATGCAACTTATGAAGGTGTTAACATGTAAAAGAATAAAAAGCTGTACTTGAATATCAATAAAAATATTGTTAATGGACAAATATCAGGACGTTTGCTTCTATATTTTTATGTGCTTGCCTTATTTGCAAATGTTGTATGGAACTGGAATATTTAATCACAAAACCATAGACTTTTAACATGTATCACTAGGATTTGCAGCCTCTTAAATTCTGAATGAAGTCCTCTTTCCACCTTGCTCCACCCAGTGTCCAGGAAGGGTTATGCTTTCTTCCAGATTAGCCCAGAAATTAAACGTGGAGAATGCATCTACTTCAGAGCAGTGGAGAGAGATGTTGGCAGTGTTGTGTATGAGTCAAGACTGGGTGATTCATATGGCATGAAAATTCAGATCTATTTATTAATGAGTGGAATGTGTATACATCTTGAAACTTTTCTTATTTACCTCATATTTTGTGTCTGCAAAAGCTACAAACCTAATTTTTATTCTCTGTGATTCATCTTTTATATGAACCAAAAAAGGATTGATTTCAACAGCATCAGTTTAGAATTCTCTCAGTTTTGCTTCTAGAAGCTAAAGTTTCAAGGGATTCTATCAAACAAGTCAGACTCAAAAGTGAGGTACATGTAAATTGCTAGTGCCACTTTTTTAATTGAATGGATGTTTTCCCCCGTTGCCTTCAACATAAATTTTGCATTTCTGTTCTGAAAATCTGAAAAGGAAACTTGTCTCTAAGTGAATTAAAAGCTAAGGAAAGACTGTTAACCAGCATGTTCTCATGATTCAGTTAATTATGGTAAAAAGAAAAAATAATGACAGCAAGGAAATACTTCTGTATCTTTAAAATTGAATGTGCTTCAAGAATATAAAGTTTGAACAATATGGGTGAGTTTTGTTTCCACAAAATGATGTTTTTAAGCTGATGTTTCTCGTAACTTCATGAATGTTTCCTCTGAGGCTTTTGGTCAGGCTTGATTTTTGGGGTTTTTTTGGGGTTTTTTTTGGGGGGTCTTTTGTTTGTTTGTTTGTTTTTTCATTTTAAATCTGTTTACCTGCTCTCCCTCACTGATTCTCCTCGATTGCTTGTCTGTATCACTGATAGTCTGCACAATCACTGTAGGGGCACGTTGCTCATCACTGGCTTGCATTTAGCACATTCCCTAAGAACTCCCTTCTGTCACAGGCTGACTTGACCTTGCTGTGTAACATGGATCAATGCACCATACACATCTCCTGCATCTTGATTAGCTTTGGGTCAAGATGCTTGAAAAATGTGTTCTTTTTTTCCCTGTTTATGCATCCTTCAGGGTATTGTGCCAAATAATGCTGCCTCCAAGCAGGGTCTCCAAATGAAAGAATTCTATGGAAGGTGACAGCAGAGTTTGTCTTGATGTTTTATTCACAATTTATGTTTAAATTCTGGCACATTAAATTTAATCCTCTTTCTGATTCTACACTCTTGTCCACCGGATATGAGGACTAACAGACCTCAGGATGTAATCAGCAGGCCCTTTGTTTAGAACAATTCAGCCTTTCTGTCTTTAGAGTTGTTCTAATGAATAATGTTGTGCAGTAAGTTGATTTGGCCTTGTGTTACCATTGACAATTTAGAAGACAAACTCTGGCACTGTAATAATGCATATCTCAGTGGAAATGTAATTCCTGACTATCCCATCTTGCTTTTTTACATAACACAAATTACTTGTAATGGTATCTAGTATAAGAAAGACAATGACAATACCAATAGAACTGTAACACTTACTGGAAACAGCCAAGTCTGTTCCTCCTCCATTCTTGATTTCTAGTCAGGAAGGTTAAAGCTGGTATGCACTTAATTGTAATAGACAGTTTGCCTTAGTGCTTTCATCTAAAATCATCCTCTGTATTGAAATTTTGTTTATGGATGCATGAGTGAGGAGTATTTTTGTAGCATTTCGTTTTGTGTTCTAACCTCTGTTTTAGGGTAGCCACCTCTGTGTAGGGCAGTGTTTCAGGAAATGAAATACATTTCAACATTTTTGTACCATTGAGAAGGGAAATGACCTAATTATTATGCCCTTTAACCATATCATATATGGTACTGTGAAATCTTAAAAACTAATAATTATACCAACATTATGGATGACAGCATCAAGTAATCTGTGCTTTTTAAATGAAACAATCAGAACATGGGGTCCTTTCAATGGGTGGAAAACCAGGAAGTTTATCTTTTCATTGTGGTAGATAATGGCAGGCATCTAGAATTAGCATTGCTGAGCATTATAAATTGAAATACATTCTTAATTTTCAGTTATCATCTGACATGAATTACTGATTTTGTAAAGAACATTCAACTAGTATTGTTTGGAAAAAATAGAGAAATATCAGAATAATCTTTTAGGTTAGTATGAAAACAAATTACTCCTTTTCATTTCCCCCATTTTGTTCTCTTTTCATATAATAACACTTTAGCTTCTTCACAAAGTAATTAATTGCCACTAAAGATTGGCTTTAAATTGGCAACTGACAGACTGTTTGCCTGACTTGCAGTTACACTGTGACAGGCCAGCCAATTCCACTGAAAAGTGCTCAAGGATTTTTGTACATGGAGGGCACTCAAATTAGAGATTATACTTAAATTGGCCATTGAAGCTGTCATATAAGGCATCCAGATTTCAAATACTGAAATACAGTACCGTGTACTGAGCAGGCAGATACTGAGGAAACTGCAGCCTTTGGATAGTTGGTAGCAACCTTCACACCGCATCATGGTTTTATTGCTTGAGTTAAGAAAAGAGGTATAAATGGACATTCAGTTGTTTCTAGCATGATATATCAGTGCTGGTCCTATACTAGCTAGCAAACTGTAAAACCTGAAATTTGTCTTAATTTTACAGCAGCTGCTGGTATTACTGTGAGATGTAACATACCTTTAAGGCATTAGAAAAGATGGTCTACATTTAATGATATGTATTTTTTAATCTACTGCAGGAGAACATCCGTTGCATTTCGCAGGAACGACAGCAGTTAAGTCAGCAATTAAAAGATGAAACTCAGCAGAAGGAGCAGTTAAAGCAGATAAAGAATGAAATGGAGAATGAACGATTGGAACTGAACAAGACTGTTGAGAAGTTACAGGAGGAGGTATGAGTTCATTGAGTTCATGCTGAAGAGGCTGCAGGGATCTATATTTACCAGATAGAAGTAATTGAACAGGCAAATTTTAAAGAATTATATCTTTTTAAATGTGTAAAAAAAATGTAAAATGAAAAGTTTACTATTAGTTTCTTTAACCTAGAGGCTCTTATTAAAAGCTTTCAGGGCTGGAACAATGATTGGAACCCCACTATTGCAAAATGACATTGTAAACCAGTTCTGTACAAACCAGATCCCAGATATGAGTTCAGTTCTCATGTACAGTACAGCGATATTTCAGAGTTTTACAGCTGATTCTCAAAATTTCTGCATCAGATTTATTGTGCTATCTGTGTGTAAACTGTACAGACAACACTGACATACTGAGGTGTGACTGTGCAATTCATTGTGTCACTCAGCTGGAAGAACTGCTGACAGACAAAAAGAATAGTCTTGCCACACATGCTATTAGAAGCTAACTTGACTGTTTTGTGTTTTCCCACTTCTGTGTAGAAACTAATTTATTTGGGAACGTTTGATAATATAAATTTTCTGTTTGAAAATACTGAGCTGGATACTGAAGCTGGAGGAAAAAAACCCATTTGTTTTATTAAGCACAGCACAACTTTTTATATATATACTTTTTGCCCAGATGTCTGAAATGGTGGAGATCTCAAGAACATCAACTCTGGAGCTTCAGAGCCAGCTTGATGAATACAAGGAGAAAAACCGCAGGGAATTTGTAGATCTGCAGAGGCAATTAAAGGAGAAAAACATTGAGGTAGAAAAATCACGCCTGATGAACATAAGAATGCAAGATGAGGTAATGACTCATAAGTTCAGTGAGAAATTCTCAACTTTGACCTAGAATTCAGTGCAGGTAGTTTTCAAGATAATGAATGTTCACTATCATGCTTTTGTGTACTCTAATGTACATCACGAGAGGCTGATCTCAGCATGCTTTTGAGTTTGATTTTTCATGGTGTTGATCGGTGTGTTATTTCTGCAGGCGAAATGGGGGTTCCTGTTTAGGACAGATAAATGCAGTGTTTGTCATTTGACAAGGATTCCATTGATGATCTCTTCCTCTTTAATGCCTGCTACTGAAGGAGTTGAGAAATTAGAAGTATTTTTGATATCACCAGTTATTTAGGAAAAACAAGCAAACATACAGACATACATTCTCCTCTTCTTTCATATGAGCCAAGGTGCAGCTTTAAATGACAAGGGTTTCTGTGCAACCAAGAATCAACCAGTCTTGAGTGTCTGCTTCATAGTATGTAAATTTTTCCATAAAGACAATCCAGTCTTATAAAAATCTGCATATACCTGCTCTCCAGTTGAAAAAACTATGAGAACACATTGGTCACAGATGTTTTCTCTGCATGGAATATTTTAGTAGTAGGATTTTTCCAGTTTAGAACTCTTACATTGCCCTCTCCCCTTAGAAAACTTGTTTGAAATTAAATTTAAAAGAACAACAATAGAAGAAAGAGTAGTTCCTGTATATTGTTGTGTCTTCCTTTTATATTTATTCTATTCTCCAGGGATGGAGAGCCTTTGTAAAGGGATGAACACCCATGATGAAAAATGAAAAATGAAACATTGATTTTGAGAACATAGCTCCTGAGTTGAATGGAGTTGTATGTAGATACCTACACTAATACATACATCAAATATGTAAATGTATCTTTACACAGTGTAAGCACACTATGTTTGCAGTTATCTCATTAAAGGTCATAATCCAAGTTTATTTTCTTGGTGCCATCTGGTGGATAAAACAAAAATTACTGTGAAAAGTCGGTAACTCAGTGGAATTCCTGTCATACTTCCAGATCTGTCATGTTTGCAGGGAGCCCCCTTTGCTGCCATCCCTTGTTTATAGGGAGTACAGTGTCAAGTGTATTCCCATGATCTTGTTGCTTCAGATGCGTCTGATGGAAGAAAACCTGAGGGACCACCAGAGAGCCCAGGATGAGGCAATAACAAAAACTCAGTTACTGGAACAGACTGTGAAAAGCTTGGAGTATGAACTGGAAGCCAAAAACCACTTAAAAGATGATCGGGCAAGACAAATCAAACTAATGGAGGTAAAAAACGTTCTTAAGGGTTTGTTTCTTTTTAGAAGAGATGAAAATAATTTTGTTTCACATGGATTCTGCTTGGAAGGAATCAAAATAGCTTCATGTTTTTGAAAATCCTTGTAGGATTTAATGTGGTATATTTTAAAGGTAAATTGTTAGCATATCTATTGTAACATGATATGTTCTAAATTAGAATTTTCTCTCATACTTTTAATTAACTTCTTTTTAATTAATTTTGTTTAGCACTTATCATACAAATTTGCATAATTTTCATTTATAGGTCCATCATTCAGAACTTCAAAAATATTTAGTAGTTTTGTTTAACCTTTGATATCAGTTTGTTTCAGGAGTCTGAATAACATTGTGACTCTAACTTGTTACAGGTTCATAACTGTTCAGTTTAACTAGGTTGTCATTTGACTTTCATAAACATTTCTATGTCATTGTATTCAGATAAAAAGAAATTTGTCTTCCAAATGTATAATGTAATCCAGATAGTCAAAAAAGTCTCTAGAAACATACAGAATTTATCTTATATTCTTGAAATTGTTGAGAGTGATTTAAAAAAAGGAAACAAAATTTTTATATTACTTCTGCCAAACAAATTCACTCTAAAGGCTTATCTACCTGCCACCTCTTTTGCTGTGTGTTTTAAGAGGCATTTCAGTTTCCAAGCTTAGTCTCTCAGACACTTTGGGTTCTTGAAGTTTAATGAGGAATGCTCTGATAGCAATCTGAAGAGGATGGAAAGTCGTATGTTGAGGTTGCTTTTCGTTGTTTCACTTAGGACAAGTTGTCTCACCTGGAACTTGAGCTTGATGAAGAAAAGAATAATTCAGATTTGTTGTCTGAGAGGATCAACAGGTGCAGAGAACAGGTACTTGAATAAATTTTCCAGCTTTTGTTTAATGATGCTATGAAAAAGTGTTATTAGGATCACAATCAATATTGATCAAATAAATAATGATTTGCAATATGATTTATATGCTATACTTGAGCAGAGCATGTAAATCCAAGAAACCCAAGGTTCACAAACATGATGAAATATGTTCCCTCCACATCATCACAGACCATTTTTTTCCTGTTTCTCTAACTGGAAAACAGACACAGAATGTATATAAAGACTGAAGAACAGTAAGCCTGTTGTGAAGAGTCTCTTATATTGAAATTTTAATAATACTGAAAAGTAATTCAGCATAATAGACTCTTAATTTCAAAGAAGGAAGAGGAGGAGCTTTAGGAAATTGTGGGATTATTTAGTGAAATCAGCTGAACCAAGAATGCTAGCCAGTTTCAATAGAGGGGAAGATTTATTTTTATTACAAGTGAAAAAGCTGATTAAGATATATCAAAGGCAAGACAATTGGAAAGTATTTTCCTCATAAAAACATCAGTCTTTTGTTCCAGAAAGAGGGGAAGAAGTATTTATTAGTGAGGTTGTGTCTCATAGGGCAGAAAATGTAAAGATAAAGTAATACTTGCCAAGCTAGGTGAGACCTATCACAGTAACTCAAACAAGTAACAAAAAGGTTTTTATCTGTGTAAGTAGAGGGAAGAAGTTGTGGAGACTGTAGGATGAGGCCTCAGTCAAGATAAAAAGTAATCCAAGTATGCCCTGTCAAATAAAAGAACATTTTACCTGTCTTCACTAAAGCCTGTGAATGTACAGGTGGGGGGAATTGGAGTGACTGTATCAGAAGTGAGACCATCCAGTTGGAAATAACCAAGCCTTAGGAGAATTAGGACTTCATTGGTTTGAAGGCAGAGGCCTTAATAATGTTATTCAAGATTTCTGAAAGAACTGACATAAGAAATTATTGGTCCTACAACAAAGATTTATAATAAACTAGTAAAGTAGAGTATAGGGCCTGATTACTGTAAAAGTAGCCAGACATCCATGAGTAGTCAGGATCATGCAAATGTTGTAATAGTTCATGGAAAGAAATACAGTGATGTGGCTGTCTTGGAATATCATGGCCTAGATAATGTTCTTAGTCTTATTTTTGCTTTCTGAAAGATGTGAAACTGATGCATAACTCCTTACAGCACATCTGCTACTGTAAATCTCCATGAATTACTTCAGCTCATAGTAATTTCCTAGAAGCTAAGGGGACAATTGGCTTTGAGGTACCCACAACAATAATCTGTTCTGGTCTCATTTCTCTTTCTCCAAAAAAAAAAAAAAAAAAAAACAAACCAAAAAACACAAAAAAACACCAAAAAACTACTGACATTCTTTTGAATAGCTGTAGCTTCAGAGGGAGAACAGAAAGTAAAATCTTAGTTTCTGTGTCTTTTCAATGAAAGTGTGTGTTCCACTGAGACAGCTGGAAAGTTTAAAGTGAGGTAGAGCTCAACTTTCTCTCATGCATCCTTGAAGCACCAAGGCACCATTACTTCTTTGTTTGAACTCAGGCTACTGAAATTCTATTTGATTGTAATAAAGACTTTCTGCTATTGTTCCATTGATATTGTTCAGACTCAGAGTCAGTGGGTGAAATAGAAAATAAAGGACCTATAATAATGTGGGGTCATGCTGTTGTTAAATCAGGAAGCCTTTAATACTGGAGTCTGTGCCTGTGTTGTAAACCTGGGATAAAAGTACTTTCTTTAGTCATAGCTGCCATGGAAGTTAATTTGCTAACTGAATGGAAACCTAAAATACAGTTTGGTGACTAAAATGTTACATAATGGGTAAAAGACATGTTTATTTTGAGGTCTGGAATTTCTCATTTCACACATGAGTTATAAAGGTTGCTTTGTTTTGATTTTATGCCAGAATGACTAAGTAGTCAAATTACTAAGAGTATTTCAGGGTCTGCTAAGCGTTTATAATGACATGAGAAATATAATGGATTTATTTTGGTAATATCTGTATTCCTCTACATTTTTAAAACTATTATTATAAATATGTTATTTTAACATACCAATTATGAACTATAATACTGAAATTTCTAGTAAAAACAAATGGTCCTATTTTATATAAAGCTGAATGTTTGAATAAACATTCACAAGAATAATAGTTCACATTTCACTTGCCATGAAATGTTATTCTTTTTTAATTTCAACACCCTTTTGAGTCTGAATGACTGCATGACACACTGTTCTCATATCCTTTTGCCTTGTTCTAAGAAATACCACAGCAGAGTGGAAACAGAAAAAAATGTTAGGGAAAAGTGGGTCAAATCCTGTTAGTTTTTAAATGTATTAGTAACTCTAGAAAGCCAAAATGCTCAAACCACACTAACACAGACACAAATGGAAAGCTGGAGCACTCAGCTGCTAAAGAGTCCCCTGGGCAGGGACAACCGAAGTTGTATTTTAATAAGTGATTTTTTTTCCTATGAACAAGTGAAATGGAGTATCTCTTGTCATATTGACTTCACAAACATATTTGAAAAATCCTCACAATACCCTCACCAATTCTTGTGTTCTGTGAAAATGCAAGTAAGAGTCTATTGATTTCAGAGTTGTTTCCAATAAGTGTGGAAAATGGACTTACTAGTTTTCATGACAATTTTAGAATAAATAGATAAGGATAAAATTGCACCGACCTGCATAATCTGCTTCCTTTTGGTAGAGTGTTCCCTGTGGAAAGTTGTATACATGCTCTTTAGCTGGCACTGGCTGTGGGTAGCAAAGAAATGAAAATCTGGATATGAAGGTTGTTTTTCAGTTGTGAAGCATCAAATGGATTTTTTAGCTTTAGCTTTCTTCTTGAATAATCATTGGGTTTTTTGGTCACATACTTGGAAATTGTCTAATGCATGTATTTTATATATATATACACATATATACACAAAACTTAGGAATTAACAAGAAACATAGGCTGTGAACCTGTGCGATGATGAATACTGATGGCATTTAAATTATTATTAGAAATCAGATTGCTTTCACTGTAATGAACTCAACAGCTGCTTTTAACCCTAAAGCTGGCACAAAATGATAAAACTTTGTAAAATCTGATACAGTTCCTTTTCTCAATTCTTTCTTGTCAGCATTCTTCAAATCCAGCTGTGATAAGTGTTGCCTTAAGCTGCAGAAATAGTTTATTCTTTTAACACAGTTACAATATATTAGACATAGGAAGGGTAGAACATGGAACATAAGTCCCACGTGGTACATGCACAGAGGATGGCCATGGAATTGGTACATCTTACTGCTGTGAAATAAGTGGAACTTCAAGCACATTTTGGCAGATAACTGCTTTTCTCCTTTGTGCATGTTAATTTTGTGTTTACTGTTGAAAAACACAAGAAGATAAAACAGTTCATGTCTCCTCCAGCAAGAATTCTATCTGCTGCCCTTTTCTTCTAACAAGCTCTTGTATGTATTTGCACACAGCTTAATGATCCCAATCAGATACAGATATTTTTCTCTCTCCCACTACCTTTCTGTGAGGTTACTTTTACCAATAGGTGTCCAACAACAGTAGCAGTCATCTTGGAAATAGAATAATTGTCCTCTAAATAATTATTTAGTTTGAATCTTGGGAAGGCTGTACAAATTTGTTACAGCCTCTGAGCACAGTAAGAGCACAGTGGAACCTCAGAGTGGTCCATTAAGCAAGTTCCTACATAAAACAAAACCCCTTTCTTCAGTTAACAGCTACATTTTTAATTAGTCATTCATTTTACTACAAATTTAGCTGTATTTTTTCATGTGTCTATCTTGCTAAAGCAATTACAGGAGAATAAAGTCTACTTTTTAAATATATTTAATTAATAAATGCAGCTATTGTACACACGTGATTCTAATTTGTGTCTATAAAGAAATACTTTATAATATTTTACTATATAACGTATAAAACTTTGTTATTATTAGGCTCCCATGTGACAATGAGAGCTTTTAAGAAATTACCCAGCTGTTGAGAACACAGCCACGTGCTGCCATTGGTATTCTAGGAGCTGTTATGACCTTAGTTTTGAGGAATGCATTCTACTCTTCTGTCCCCATCCTGTGACATAACATATGCAATTGCATGTGTTGCTGCCATTATTTGTATTAATAAATGAATTTCCAGGCTCCAGAAGCAGTGCAAATTACTTCCTTTAACCATGATTAACTAAAAATGTATCTTTTAATATTATGATGTGGTTAAAAAAATAAGGCCTAGGGCAAGTTTTCATCTGCTGTACTTATTTAGCCTTCACATTCTTAACATTGCTTTTGGATTTTTTTATGCAAGAATTCCCAATGACTTTTGAAAGTCCTTTACTGAGATAAATCTGTAACTGAGAGTTGCTTAACTGGGATGGTATGTTCATGCAAGTTCATATCTAACTGATGCAAAGCAGGGAAGAATGCTGTGGCCACTGAACTTATCAGTCTGTTTTTAGCAGAGACAGTAATCGATACAGATATTCACTGTGTTCCCCAGATGATATCTATCACAAAAAACCCTGTGTAGTGTAAAAACCACAAATGCTGTGGTAACATTCGCTGTGCCTGTAAAAGCATTTTTAGAGATTTGCAGGGAGTCTCAGAAAGACTGGAAGCAAGATAAGTATTTCAATAGCCCTACAAACTTTGTTCTTTAGCACCAAAGTTTCAGTAGCAGCTGCTAGGAAGTTTGGAGTTTTTCTTTGAGTTCAATTTTTTTTCCAATCAAGTCCAATAGTGAGGTAAAACAAACTAATTTTGCATTCTTATCTTGAGTCTGTATTTATTAGGTAGCTTTTTAACATCTTTACACATGCAGAATATATCTTCCTTGTTGTTGTTGAATATGGAACAGAAATATTAACAGAAACTGTAGAAAAAGTTGTCTTTCAACAAAACAAGCAAAGCCCACTCCCTCTCCAAATCTAGAAGTTGCTGCCCCTCCAGTACAACAGACATAAAATTGACTGAAGGAGGGGAGCAATGTTTGTATCCATCATGCAGGAGAGTCTGTTGAAAAGGAGCTTTTACTACTCCCATACATACAGAAAACTGCAATTCTCTGTGGAGTGTTTCACTGAGTTCTGGGCACTTGTCTGCAGGTACCAGTTTGTGTTTAATAAAGAGAAACTTTACTTAGACTAGTCAGCAGCTTAAAAGTAAGGTACTGTTTCAGAGGTTCAGACTTAAGTATGAAGAAAACAACTGGAAAAGATGTTTGAAGATGGATGTGATGTTCCAGAACTCAGTGTCCTGCCACATGATGTGTCTCTTATACAAAAGCTTAGAGCTGAGTTCCTTGCTACAGTATATGATAAAAATCAACAATATCCAGTGTGGGTATTAAATGCCTAGAATGAGTACTGGGAATAACATGGACTGCCTGAAGCAGAAATTTTTGTCCAAGGTTGTAGCTGTAAAGCTCATCTAAAATCATGCATATGTTTTGAGTTCTGAGAAAGAACACATTGCTTATTGCATAGGTATATGTAGTTTATATATATACATACACACAGTATAATATACATAAATAAAAATTAAGTATCTTATTAAAAGTTCTGTCTTCTTTCTCTATAGATTGAACAAATGAGGACAGAGCTGCTTCAGGAAAGATCTATAAAGCAAGACTTGGAGTGTGACAAGATTTCGTTGGAAAGACAGGTAATAATGTCTGGTTGTAAATGACCGCTTTCAGAGGAGCTGTTCTGCCAAGGCTGAAAAGTCCTTTAGGAGCACTGTTGAAGATATAATTTAAAGTAATTGTAATTTCAGTTGAGTGTTTTCTTCTGTAGTAGTAAACAATTCTTCTGCAGTTCAGTGGTCTTTGAAAGCAGCATTACTTATCATAGCCCTTAGGCGAGATCATGGGGAAAGGTACCTCAACAAGTCATAGTATTATTTCAAAACTCAGGAACATAAAACAGATTGTAATGGGAATTTAGAGGACCTGTTAGTACAACACACCTCATTAGGTGCCTTCAATTATGTGACATTGATCTCATCTTAATTGTTTGAGACAAAAGAATGCCACCTACTGGTATATACTATGTACATTCTTGTACTTTAGTTCTGATCTTCCTGTCATATTCCTTTTTTCTGTGTTTGAGAGCTGAGATCACGCTTTGAATTTCTGTAACCAAGAACTTTATTTTTCTGTTCATCATGTAACTCTTTATTTGTTGGGCATTTTTTTTCTGTCAACTCTTTGACTAGGTCCCCATTGAAAACCTATATTACCTAGCCTCAGAAAAATGTAAATGTAAATCTTAGCAAAAAGTCTCCTTTTACAAATCTTTTCAAGCTATTTTTGTAGTAGGAATAGAATTGGAGAGTTAAGAAAGGCAGGGGGACACCCCAGTAATAGCTTTGATAAAGTAAAGCGGTAGTTAATAATGTCTTTGTCTGTTGGTTCTAGCATATGCCAGTGATTTACAGGGCAAGAACACAGAATTTTACAAAAGAATTGGGTGGAGCATAAGACAGATCTGACAGAGTATTTGAAAAAAAAAATTGGCACATTAAAAAGTATTGGTGGATGGGGCTTGCAACTATCTGAGGTTTAAGGAAGGGGCTTGCAGCTATCTGAGGTTTAAGTGTCCAGTTAATCCTAAAACTTGAACTGAAGCTGAATTGTAAATTCTTTTCAATAAGCCACAGTAGTAGAAAATTTGTTTGTAGTAAACGGTGACATCTCAATTACTTTCCATGTTCACTAAATACTGTACTGATCACTGTACATACTGATACATGTTTTTCTAGAGACATGAATTTGGTGTTAAGGTGATATTTGTCAATCTGAGTAAGTGTGTATTAACCAAGTGTGTTCCAACCACAGAACAAGGACTTGAAGAGCCGAATCCTTCACCTGGAGGGTTCTTACAGATCTAGTAAGGAGGGACTTGTTGCTCAGATGGAGGCAAGGATCACAGAGCTGGAAGAACGACTTGCAAATGAAGAGAGGTAAAACCAGTGATGTTATGATCAAAACATGCACATTTATGCTTGTTATTATGGCCTCTTGCTAATATTAAATCTCTATTGCAGTTAACCCGGGTTTTTTTTTTACCAAATTAAAATCGTCACTGTTTCATAAAAGTATTGCAAATTTTCTTTTTTACTGCAAGCACAGTAGAAGTTTGTCTTAAAATTTAAAACTGGGCACAGTGCTAACATGGTTCCATAGCTCCTTATTTTATAAAAGTCTAATATCAGGAACAGGCTTAGAGATATTAACTGTACAGTACTATAACATCCACTTCCATGTTTGATTTTTTTGTTTAATCTTGGAGGAGTATACTTTTGTTGCTAAATATTGCTATGGTGTCAGAAGAAATTCTCCTTAGTAATTTCTGCTTATGAACAAATTTCTCAATATGTTGCATGGAATCAGTAAATCCAAGCAGGGAGCCCAAGTATTTATTTAATTCTTATAAAATTGTTAAGGAATTAAATTATCAGGATTGGGAGCATTTCAGTTCCTTTTTTACAAACCTGTCTTTTCTTGGTTTTGGTTTTTTACTAGGGATAGAGTCAATTTCCAGCTAAGTAACCGCAGACTTGAGAGAAAAGTGAAGGAGTTAATGTTGCAAGTAGATGATGAACATCTGTCATTGACTGATCAGAAGGACCAGGTAGGGGAAAGACTAATATGCAGATAGCTGATATTAATCCTACTAGCATAAACCATCATATATAAAAGATACAAGATGAATAGGGGTAGATTCTGATTACTCGGTTGTTTATGAACTCCCATTTAGTGATATTTGCAGCTGCCATTGCATCATGTGCTTTTGTCTAGTACTAAATTATTATTAATTTTGAAAATTATGAAAAGAAACTTACAGAAGCAATGCTAATTTAAGAAATAAAGCAAATAACAGACAGCAATTGATCCTATAAATATACCAACAATTTTATGTTTTGCCACCATAAAATTTTGTTTAAAGAAAAAAGCTGTTTACTGTTAAATATAGGCTGTAAGTCTAAATACACACTGATGTTTCAATAGCAACGTGCTCTACCATTCCTGTGGTCTTTGTTGATTAAAACATGGTTTGTTTCAGCATGTGAGCCAACAGTTAATATTCTACCTGGAGAATGAACAGTGCATTTCAAATTGCAGACATCCATTACAGGAATGATCTTAAACAATCCTCTGGGTTTTTGAAATGTGTTTTATAGTATCTGTCTGTTAAAGTTGCTTAACTTAGACAGCTTATAACTCTACCCTGTTGTAATTGATAACCAGCTCTTGCTATCACATAATACTGTCTTACTCTGCCAAAACTCTCTTTGCTTGCTGCTGGTTTTTCTTTGTAAAAAAACAGTATCATGTTATTTTTCTTTAAGTCAAAGAAAATACTCAAATATTTCAAATATTTCTGAAGCAGAGGATTACAGTGTCACTACACTGGCAAAGTTTTGTCTTTATTCTCCCTCTCATAGATGCTGGAAGAATAAAATTCCTTTGTTAAAATAGTCTTCTAATCAGATGACATGTAAATATTGCAGTTGAGTTTGCGTTTGAAAGCAATGAAACGTCAAGTTGAAGAAGCTGAAGAGGAAATAGACAGACTGGAAAATGCTAAAAAGAAACTTCAGCGAGAACTTGAAGAGCAACTAGACATAAATGAACAATTGCAAGGACAGCTTAACACTGCAAAAAAAGAATTAAGGTAGGATGAGTTGTCAGACCTTCCAGTTCTGTATCACACCACTTCTCACACATTTGACCACTTGCTCCTGTAGTCCATAAACTGAGGGCTTCCTCTACAAGTTTGTCGTCAGCACACACAGTTTGACACAGACCTGTGAAACTCTCTAGGTGTCCCAGCCTTCTTTCCAAGATCTCCCTGCTGGTTGAAGTCATTGAGGCAGGGAGTATAAAATGGAAAAAAGTGGTGGGAATTGACACTCTTACCATTTGTAGCAGTAAAAATTTCCCTAATGGCTGAGAGGTACAGTCATCCTGTGTTAGTTTTCCTTGGCCATCTTTGAACATCCCGGTGTGCAGTGTTCACAGTTTCTCTGCCACTTTAGTAAGAGGTGTTTGAAAATGTGATTTCTCGATCTTGTGCATGTTTCCTTCACATAAAATGTAGTCTAAGATAACGTCTGCCGCAGCATTTTGACATCCTTCGAAAATGTAAATCCTGCCTGTCAATGCTTAAAGCTTTCTGTAAGTGTGTTGTGTGTACATGTGCTCTTTTAATAGCAAATGTGTATTTTTGTTTTAGTAGACTGAAGAAGTCACCAAGTAAAATGTTGGCTGATTCTGATGATGATGACGATGATGATGATTTCAGCACGGATGGTGATAGTCTCTGTGAAGTACCTTCAGGAAATAATTTCTCAAAAGACGATGACATAAAAGTCTAAATAAGTATGGATGCAATTCCTTGAAAGTACTGGAAGAATAACATGAATTATCGAGAAACTGGATATTCTAGAAGCCAAATGACAAAGGGATTTAAGAGTTGGGAATATAATGTTTCCATCTATATTGTGCCATTTTCTTATTTAGATCTCCACTGTTTATTATAGAAATCAGGATTGCATTATAAAACACCTATGAAACTATATATATCTATAAACTGCTACTGAAAACGTGGGAATAATGTTTCACATTGGAGATGGGATTTTGCTAAAATTCTGTTCAAGTAAAAAGCCATCTGATATTAATTCAAAATTAGTTTTTAGTTATTAAAAGCTTTTCCCTAAAATTAAGGAAACTATGGAAGATTATTTAATAATTGTAAGTAAGGGGAAATTATGTATAAAATGTAAATATTTTAAATTTGATCTTTTTATTGACTACTTTAGTACTATTTTGTAAAGTTTCAAATATTATATAAATCAGTTTGATATGTAAAATCTTTAAGTTTATATTGAATACTATGTTTGGGTTTTTACTAAGAGAAAAAAAAAATGAAAATGAATACATTTCATGCATTACAGAACATATTCATAGTTCTTGGGCCAGGAAGTACATTTAAAAACCAGTGTAAGTTTTATTGTATGTGTTCTGTATATTAGAGGTCAAGTGTTAATCCTGCCTATTGACTTTAAAAGGACCATCAAATCTGCATGATGAGAGAGGCTTGGCTTCAACTTCCTTGTAAACTTCATTTTGGAAGCTTTCTGTTCTTAGTAGGGAAGGTTGAGAATGATGTCAGTCATTACTTGGTATCTTTCATCTCCTGAAAGGAATTAAATTCTGCCAGAGCCAGAATGTTATAGACCTGCTGATTTGAGGACATTTGGATAGTCTTATCTTGCAAGTTTCTAAAGAGTCCCACTTGTTACAGTAAAATTATGTGTGGTCTTTAAATTAAGTACATGCTTAAATCTATTAATTGGTACAAAAATTTTATGCTGCTGGCAAGAAATTACACCAAGGAAACAGCATGTAATCTGATTTTTCTTTCTAGGTTCTTCTTGACCATCTATTAGTGATATATTTCAGCACATGGTCATATCTGCAGATATATATTGGTATTTCAGTATCTGCATTTTGGGTTATCCATCTATTCAACAAACTTAATGAGAAATTTAAAAGAAAGAGCATTGAAGATTTTATTTTAAAAACATTTTCTATTTTGTTGCTAAAAATATTTTTTGCTATGTATATTACACTAGACTGGTTTTGCTTCTTTGCAAATCTAGAATTCCAAGGAAAGGGCATTACTACAAAATTTTGTTAATAAACAAAAATAGTTAGGTCCTGTCTATTTATCATAATTTTCCTCAGTTACAGGTTAGCGAGCACTTGTTCATTGATTTGATCAAGTAATCATGGAATTGTAAAAAATACTTTGAACTAAAGTTGCTGGGAGCTTCCATTATTCCCACAAAGGAATCTGCTGCAGACAACAAATTTAACAGCTCTGACAGTGAGGCTGGCAGATGTGGTTAAGGCAAAAATCCTGACAATGGCAGTATCCATTTTCATACAGTTACATGAAATGAAACTCCTGCCTGCGAGGTCAGAAATGTATTCCTGTATAGCAGATCACAGACTCTTTGCCATGTAATTCCCTTCAACTTGCTTTTGATCATTTGAATTATACAGGAAATAATAGGAATGGCAAAGTTGTAATACTTTGTCTCTGAATCTTGTATCTTTTCCAGTACCATACACATGGAATATTTTGCAGTATTGGCATTACTATTTTGACATCACAGGAACAGCCGTTCATCCAAGAAGACCTGTGCTACACTGTACTGACAATCATCATTGAAACTGCTGTGATTTATTTGTTGTGTCATTTGCATGTTTATGTTGACTTAACTTCAAGCAACTGATTGCAATCCCCAGTACTCTATCCTGTAATGTTCATAGATGACTTATTTCAAACCACTGGAAAAAAAAATCAATTAATATTGCATCTACCTCCAGTTACACTAAAATGTAAAAAAAAAAAAAAAAAAAAAAAATTAACTTAAAATAAACAGTCAGTGCTCTCAGCTCTACTTTGTGCATATACCTTGATATGATAATTGAATTTCATATAGAAGACATGTTTAAAACATAACAAGAAAATAATGACCTGGGAAATACTGATGCTATAAACAAATTTCTGCATTTTCTTCTCTTTAGATAGCTACTTTCTTTTTAACTTGTAAAGCAGGTGGCAGGTGTACATCTAGAAGACTCCTCATTTGATCTTAATAGGAGGAAGACAATATTTTTGCAGACTCCTACTGGCAGCAATTCTTAGTAAGCCTCTTCTTTTTCAGAAAAAGAACTCATCTTTAGTTTGTTTGCTTGGACTTGCCAGTGGCATTTCCTCTTTAGTGTTCTCAAATAATATGACTAAAACTGTTAAGACACTGAAAAGGATATTTCAATTCATTCACCAAGGAGTTGGTAGCTCTCTTTCTCAATACTTGTTAACTATGGTGATAGTAAAATCATCTTCATTGCCACAAACAAAATTTATAATAGTTTACGGTCATCTTATTTGTTCACTCTACCTGCTGTTTGCTCTCATCAAAGCTCATCTTCAGTCAAAGTTTAGTTTGGAAAGATTTTCCTGATTTTTTCATGTAATCTATTTTTAAATGAATTTCAGAAGAAGCTCTTGACCCATAAAAGGAAGCAAGAGGGAGTTATATGTAAAGAAACATGATTACAAGACATTTAGTGCCAAGAAGTTTGTATAAACGTCAGAGTTTCTAGTGTATTACAGAGACATGGCTTGAATTCTGAGCTGTAGAGACCTTCAATTTTCTTCCACAGTACTACAGTATCTCTTAAACAAACAAACTCAAGCTAAATCATGTTTTCTATAAACCTAAACTGATGACTTTTATAGTGGATGCTTGTCTCTCAGTGTAAGTAATCTATAGTGAAAGGTTTAACTTTTTGTCCTTTCTGGGATTAATGGCCTTGATTTTCTGAGTCTGTTATTGTAGATAGGCGAAGACAAATTACTTCTACAAGAGTTTTTTTGTTTTAAATCACCAACATTTGGCAAGTGCGCCAAAATCTTTACGTGGCAGCTTCTGTACAGTGCAAAATATGTAAATGTTAAACAAGTGAAGAAAATCCTCCTGTCCTCCATAGACTCCTCACTCACTAAGTAGAGAAATTAAAGATACTCATCACAGTAATGCATTTTAATGCCCTTAAGTTTGGAAGGCATCCCTTTTCATAAAAGCATTGAGATTTTTAGATATTGTATCTCTTGTTGGTGCCTGAAGAAATAAAAAGGGAAAGTTGGTATCTTCTTGCTGTCCCCTGTACCTGTTGCCCTGCACTGCACTTCATTTAAGGAAACTCCTGTACTATGCAAATACTTTAATTCATCTCTGTGCTTTTTACTGTTCAATCACCAGGCACGTTTTCGCCCCACAACTTTTGGTGATGATCCTGTAACTTGTTGATTAATCTGTGTATTCCTCTGATTTATCCTCTTTCTTCTCAACTTAATTCTTCCCTTTTCCTGATTAAATAATCTGTTCTGATTTATAAATTATTTTCTAAAGTGTTCCAGAAGCCATGTGTTTTCCTAATGTTTTACAGACCAGCTGTGTGCTTTGCTGAGTGAGCTACATAGTGCAATAGCTTCAGCTTTTAAGCCTTTTCTGGATCACACAGCATATTTTAGTAATTAAATGTTGATTCTTTTAGCTTACTGGAGCTTCCTATCCTGTGAGTAGAGCTACACATTTCAGCTGCTTAATTTCTACCAACTGCACTTCTCAAGTAACATTGCATAATGTTCAAAGACTTTGCTGAAAGAGCAACATTCTTTAGAAATTGCCAGGGTTTCATACACATTTAATTTCTTTTCTTGCATAAGGTTCTGACTAGGTCACATGTTTAACCCCCTGACCCTACTACGTTATAGTGAGGGAAATTTCACTGGCATCTCAAAAGTTACTCAGGAGCACTGAGCTATTGAGAAAAAGGTATATAGTTAATAGAAAGGTATTTTTCTATTACAGGTTTTTCTTTTAACATGTAAGAAAGGAAAGCCTTAAGAAGAAGGGGAGTGAAGTTCAGCAGACAAGGCCAAGTGCAGTAGTCAGTTTGCCTCACCTACCTCAGTAGCAGCATGACAGCCCTTTAATGGTTGGTACCAGTGACCCTTACATGAGGTCAGCAGGGACTGTTTTATGTAAGATGGAACATTTGATCTTTTTTCCATTTCTAATAACAATTTACTGCTTTATTTAGATCCTGAAGCTTCCTGCCATTAGCAGAAGAGCAGACAATAAAAAAATTTACTTAAATTCAGAGCGCAGGTGGAGGATGAGAGTTCAAGCTCTCCAAATTCTCAGTAGGAAAACTGTAGGAACACTTCTATGTGAGTGCAAAGGAGGAACTCACTACAGGTAACTCCATTACAGGTAACCTGAGTTTTGCATTGCCTTCTGTGTACTTCTACTTTCCAGCAGAATGGGCTTTCTTAACAGTGCTTCATGTGTTAGGTTACAAAGCTATTTTCACTAGTTTCAAGTACTCCTTTCATCTCAGTTGTATGCAGGCTGGCTAGGACAGACCCTACCAAAAGGCATAATGGGAAGTAAGGAAAAAATACAGACAGCAGGAAAGATTCAGCTCAGGATCCAGTTCTGATTATTTTTATTTTGACCTTCCCTTCACACCTAAGGATCCTGGCACACATCTGAGATTGAAGGTTTAGCTCCCCAGCAACCAGCAGGCTCTATGGAGTTTCTTTTCTGCAGAACAACAGCCTTAAGCATAGATTTCCTTGCTTTATGGGAAGTTTCACATCTGGTTTTCTTCAAACAAGAAAATGGTTTATTGTGAAACAGGTAGAATGGCTATGAAAAGTGGAAAGGAAGAGATAATAAAGTGAGTCCATTAAAACTATGTGAAAGCAGTAAAATCAGCTAACCAAAGAAAGGAAGCTTCCTGAATAAGGCTATGTGTACTTTATACACAGCCCACTGTGCCTTGCTGATTCAGTACATACTATGTATGGTGTCCAGCTATTTTAGAGATAAGATCAAATTAGTAATTTAGATCAGAATGTCCCTCCCAGATGTGAACTTCTTAAGCATTACTGAGAGACAATGGAAAACTATGGTCTGTCTGGATATAACAAACCAACTCAAAATGCTCACAAATGTAGAAATTCAGTTTTCTAAATGAAACAAGTTCCATTTAGAGACCCTGCTGGGCCAGCTGCTTACAACACAGCAGCCCTATAAAAGCACAGGTAAGTGTGTCATGACCACCATGCTGTGCTGCTGTGCTTTCTAACACAGTACCTGGCTTATGGTCTCTCTTGCCCTTCCCATTTGTGGTTCTTCTTCATCAGTGACAAGTGCAGACTCTCTTAGAAGACCCAATGCATGGCTTAGATGCATCAGGCCAGAGAGGAAGTGAAGAGACCTGACCACCAGATGTCTGGGAAACAGAGTTAACATTAGCTTATTCACGGCAATTACAGGTTCCCAGGTGCTGACAGAAAGGTGTGGCTATTTGATGGGCGGCTGTTGGGACATTCTGTGTTTTTTTTGTTAAGTTTAGAGTTTTGGGGTATTTTGGTCAGAGGATAGGAAAGAAAAAAACAGCACCCCTGTCCTGGTTGTACTGTCCAGGTGTCTGCTGGTACTTCTCTTTCTTGTGGATGAAATCTGTACTGTATGCCTGGGATTTTATTTTACTTCACTTTTTGCTGACCATGTGTCCACAAGTGCAGCGAGAGGCAGGCAGAATCTGCAGTCTGCTGTGGTGACATTGCCAGAGGGGTAGCACAGGAAATGTCAGGATAGACTGTAGCCATGGCATTAAACACCTGTCTTTCAGCTTTATTTGAGCCTAATAAGGAGCTTTTTAACTTGTGCAATATCTGTTTACCTTGCCTCTTGGTGAGTTTGTGTTCACCTGGTGGCTCTTACTGCAAAGCCTCACAATGCTTTTCCAGGGAATGCAGGTGCTTAAGGCTTAAAGCTGGATTACTCAAGCCTCTGGAGGCTGTGTCTAAACTGCAGCATCTGCCCATGTCAATGTGCCATTAAATGACATTAGCAGCTGCAGCTGAAGGGCAGTGCAGGTGGAGGGAGGAAACTGGATCCCAGGAAGCTCAGTTGGTGATGCAGTCAGCTCAGCTCTGTTCTGTGGGGTGTCAGCACCAGTGCACAGGGTAATTCCTGTATTGAATAGGTCTCCACAGTGAGTGTTTAAATAGTCCTGCACTTCCTATGCCTGCCAAGCCTAGAGCATTAGATATCAGGTAATTGAGCTTTGATTCCACAAACTTTTGTTAAGTCTTGTAATTTTAGCTTTTCTTTTCAAGTATATAAAACTACCAACCAGGCACAGAGGAACTGTACCTCTTACCACAGTTGTGAGCGTGCCCAGCTGCCAGCTGTGAGCCCTGGGAAGATGCTCTGAGGATGAGCTGAGTGGCGATAGAGTCAGATACAAGCAACACGTTTTAACTTGGATTAGCACTTTATCTTGTCAGTGCGATTTTTCTTAGCGCCTTTACTATTTCTACGAATTAGAGTAATGTAGAGGGAAAATGGGACATTAACGCCCAATTAACCTTGCTGCTCCTCTTAAACTATTCCGTGCTTAGCAGAGCTTGGCATTTCTGACTCTTGTGGGGAAAAAAAATACTTTTTTTGACGGAAAACTTTTGGCAATCTCAAACTTGGTAAGTGCGGTGGAATCTCGGGTGAGCTGCAGCAGGTCTCGGGGAGCGCGGCCCGCAGGGGGCAGCAGCGCGGGGCGGCTCCGGCCCTCGGCCCTCAGGGGCTCGGGGCATCTCCGGTGCCTCCGCCGTGCACATCAGTTCTCCATCGACATACTAGACAGAAGAGCCAGGTTTCCCTTCGGGAAGTAGGCTGTTCAGAAAGTCACATGCTGGCCCACAAAAATCCTTTTCAGTGTAGAACCACAGTCAAAGTAGCATTCAAGGTGTTAAAGTGCATGAAGTGACTGATGTGAGAAGGAGGATGCTGCTTTCCTGTAAAAATGTTGGTACTGTAAGTACTCAGATACTATTGTATAACTATGTAAGAAGACATAATATTGAGTGGTTCTGAGTCTGAAGAAATTAATTAATGAAGGACAGAAAAAGCTCAGAATATCTTGACTGTTCAGTGACACTGTAACAAGGTGACAGTCTCCAGAATAGAGCAAGGATAATAACAATTGGTATGTAAAAAAAAAAATATACAACATGATTAGACACACTGGTATTGATGGTGATAATTTATCAAAAGCCAGAAGTTCACAGCTGGTAAGAACACCCATTATTCATGAAAATGTGATGGCTGGAGTTATGCCAGACAAAGATCAATCTAACCATACCATCTGTGCATGTGCTTGCGTGCCTTTCCTGCATTGCAGACATCCAGCCTAGAGATGAGGAAGTTTATGTGAGGTTCCCATTAGGGTCAAAACTTCAGCCAAATATGTTTCAAGTAATTGTTTTTCTAGATGCTTCCTTTGTTGTCAGAAAATCGCCTTCAAACTGAAATTATTCCAAATGATGATGAAATCCTGCTTATGGTTACAGCAGATTTATGTGGAAAAGGCATCTTATTAAACAGGAAGATTTGTTTGTATGGGTAGGATGCATAAAGTGTTCTAGTTATACTCATCTTCCTTTGTAATTTACGCCCACGTTGGGCACTGTACTTTGCATAAGCCAAGGAGAGGAAAACAATATTCTATTGAGAAATCTACAGAAGTGTTCAGCAGGAATACAATTATGGAGGGCACTTTAACATTTTTTGTCCACTGTTAAATTCTATAGGATCTTTTTGTCTGTGTTCTCCTCTCTTGTTAATCCATCAAAATACTAAATGTGTGTGTTAACAGAGGAAAGCCCCATAATTCATAGAGACTCTGTAACTCCAGTTATGAGAAGTGGGAAATGTACCAAAATGTCTTAAGACCTTGCTAACCTATCTGCTGTCAGAATATTTTTGTATACTTTTCATTCTAATACTTTAGCAAAAGTTCACTGTCATAGGACAGTGCATTAAGATTTTGATAGTGAACCTCCTCCAAAAGGTTTACTAAAAGCAAGCTAGAAAATGAACAATCATCAGGTGTTTTCAATGTATCCAGTGCATGCTATTAATATATTACAACCTCTGTTCTACAGAAGTAGAAATTACTGATAATCTGTCTATGGATTGTAGAAGGAGAAGGATTGGATCTTGTGTTACTATATTAATCATTGGGTAAATGTTTCTCTAAAAGGTAGGATTATAGAAATTTCCAGGGGCAGA